GGAAAGAGGCTGGAATTGCTGCTGCAAGTGAGTCTGTTGTGATAAATGCTGCTGCAGCCCCAGACAAACCCAGGAAGAGATGTAGTGATGGGAAAAGGAAGAAACCAGGCACGAGTCCTGTGAGGCAGGCAGCTGGTCTGGAGGCTGGGGTGGAGACAAGCAATCTGCCAACCAAAGAAAAGGTGGCTGGAAGCACAAAGGACAGTGTCTTTGATAAGGATAAGGTGTCTGGTTTTGAAAGAGAGCTTTTGGGAGAGAACCTGACAGGTATAAGCAAAGAGGTGTTGGAGAAGCCTGACATCCAGGGTGGAAAAAGATGTTTCTCTAATCAGCCAGTTCTTTCAGGTCATAAAATAGAGCCAGCAGAGCCAGAAATACTCAGCACTAAAGAAACTTGGCCTGTGAATGAAGGTAAGGAGCTGGATACATCCAAGGTGCTCCCAGAACCCAAGACAGATTCTACTGGGGTACAGAGTCCCAGCAGGGAACTGGTGATGGACAAGCCTAAGAAAAAAAATAGAGACATGAAAGGCAAAAAGGCTGGAAATGGTCTTGAGTTCTCTGTTGTGCTGGGTTCAGGGGACATCCCTGTGGTAGGGGAAGAGGTGGGAAAAATGAACCTAACTCAGGCTTTTAATAAAGGCAAAGAGACTAATTCCAGTAGTTCAGTGAGTCTGCTGGGTGGCCCAGCTGGTACTGGTGAAGCACCTGCTCCTTCTGCACCCCAGGAGCCAGAAAAATCACACACGAGTAGTAAGAAAAGCAAAAAGATGGAGGCTAATGTGCAGCAGCCATTCCTTCTGGAGCCTAAAGCTGGTGCAGAGATGGTTCCTCCTCGTGACGTGGAAATAAGTGACAAATCTGAGCCAGAAAGTCCCATTCCTTGCAGCAAGGGGGGTGGGCTCCCTATCCCAGAGCATCCAGCAGTGCCAGATGATACTTTGGGCACAGGGACTGACAGATCTAAAAAGAGAGGTTATGATGGGAGTAGTAAAAAGGCTAAAAATGCCCCCGAGCAGCCTGGTTTTCTAGAGCCAAAAGCAAACAGAAGAGAAGTGCAGCCTCCCAAGGGATCTGAAATGGATTATGGAATGGGGGACATGGATTTTGTAGATGAAAACAGAAATATTAGAAACTTTCCCATTGGCCCTCCAATGCTTCAGAATAATAAAGGAAGTGACTTGGGATCCTGTGCTCAGCCTGCAGTACCTGGCCTTGCTGGCACTGGGGATGGTTCTGGCTCCCCAAAGCAGAGGGATGAGGGTGCAGCAAGTCCGGGGCTTCCTCCTCCTGAAGCAGCAGCAGAGAAGAGGAGCAAAGAGCCTGGATCTGGAGCTGAGATGGAGGCACAGAAATCTCGGGAGCAGCTGATCAGTCTGGGACACAAAGAGCCGGGAGAAGAGATTTCGAAGAAAGTTGGTGAAACCAAAGAGGCTGGTTCCCAGGATGGGAGCAGGGCAGGTCAAGCTCTTGCTTTGGATCATTCAGTTAAACAGGACGTTAAATTGAAGAAGGACAAAGTTCAACTTTCTCCTGAGGCAAAAGTGGATGATAAAGAGCTAAGAACCCCTGATAAAAAGCCAAACACTGATGACACTCCCTCAGACCTTCCTCAGAAGGTGGCAGATTCAAAAAAGAAACTGGCTGCTGTAGGTGCCAACGGGACAGAGAAACTGGAAGCAA